ATTCTGGTGTATTTCATGTAGAAACTATATACATTTGATTGTCAAATTTAAATTCAAATTTTTAAATTTTCTTAAAATCGGCCATTTTCTTAATCTTAAGAAATTTGTAAACAAACACAAATTTATCGATTTTGAAAATATTTAAAAAAATTTCTGACACGTTATTTTAGTAAAATCAAAAAATTTAAAGTTAAAGTAATCTGATTTGAAAGAAATCTTTCTTACTTATAGCATAAAAAAATAATATACAACCAATTATTAACGAGCGGTCCTGTTCATCTGATCGAACTATTGATGGATTGTTGAATGACGAACCGATGACAGCTACTACTGATGACCATAAATGCCATAATTTTTAAGTCTGAGTTTTTAAAAAAAAATATTCTATTTGCGTATGACACACACTAATGGAAATATAATACATAAAATAAAATTATTTAGTGAAATAGTAAATGAAAAAAAGAAAAATTACTTTAAAAATTAAAGCTGAACGGAAAATACAAACTGTAAGAAACGAAATGTTATGAAAAGGCCATGTAAAGGGACAAAACCCTTAGATCACGTGACCTTGTTATAATAATGGCAATTTCTGTATATCATACATGGAAATAAGGAATGTATTAAGTAAAAATATACAAGATAAAAAATATTTTTAAAAAAAGTAGCGCAACTAAATTTATTAAATTTAGCAATTTTGGACACGTAAATTTTTTTTCCACTTAATTACTACATCATCTCGAGGAACCCTCCTAATACAGAGCTTTACACGATTTTAAACTATTATAAATTATTATAATTAAAATTTCTTAAAAAACGAAAAAATTCTTGTAAAAATAAATTATTTATCAGAAAAAAAATTATTTCTTCAGACAATAATGTCCTTAATATTACTTATTTACAAAAGCAATTAAAAGCTTTTCTAATTAAGTAATATCATAGATTTATTGATTCATTATTTTTCAATTCAGAACAGATTTTCAGTTAGATAGCTCAAATTTGAAAAAAAAAACTAGGTTATTTACCATCGTCGAAGACTCCTACTTTTTTAAAAAAAAAAATCAGGAACCAAAATGGTTTTAAGCGAAATTTCATTAAATTAAGTTAATGTGGGTAAATATTTAAAAAAATATTTTTACCAAAATTTTCTAAAAAAATTTTTCAAAAATAATTTCATTCATTTGTGAATAACTCCTGAAAATTTCATTAAAATCGGACAATTACTTGATTTTTACAAGAATTTCTAAATCAATGTTTTCAACGGAAAAAAAATCGCCAAAAAAATGTTATTTTCTGTGACGCCCCGATGACGTAAACAAAAGAAGAATTTAACCAAAATTTCGAACGTGTTAGAAAGGATTATAAAATTTCAAAAAAATAATTAAAAATACTTTGGTCTTTCATCTTAATAATAACATAAGCATTTTTGACGATAAAATTTTATTTTAGTTAAGTTTGTGGCATTTTCATTAGTTATATGCTGTTTTCCCCCGTTATATAAAACTGTGAACATGCTTATATATATATATATATATATATATATATATATATATATATATATATATATATATAAATGTGTGTGTGTGTGTATTTAGGCAACAATCATTCTTTCGAGCACATCTCACTGAATACTACAGATAAGGTTATTTGATTTAGTTTTTATACAGTTTCTCATGTGATCTACAATTTTTTTTTTCCTTTTCGGATGATAAATTATATAAAAAGTATTCAGCTGTTCTTTATATTGGAGCACATTCGGCTAGACATTTATCCATTTTCAAGTTTGAAATGTATTAAATTTTAACAAGAAATAAGTTCTGCATGTATGTATTTATATAATGTTTTCATTTTCAAAACACGGATAATAATATCAACTATGAACATGGACAGAATATCTTGACCGTGTTTTGAAAATGAAAACATTATATAAATACATACATACAAAAATCTATTTCTTGTTAACAGTTAATATATTTCAACCATGAAAATGGCTAAATGTACAGCCGAAAGCACTCGGATAAAACGAACAATGGGACAGTTTTTATAAAAATTATCATCCGAAAAGAAAATAAATTTAGGTCACATGAGACACTGTATAAAAAACTGAATTATTCAATGAAATGTATATATATATATATATATATATATATATATATATATATATATATATATATATATATTTAATTGGATTCATTGAGTCTGATAGAAACTTCAACAGGAAATAGAGGAAGCACTGGACGGCCGTTTCGTCCTATAATTGGGACTCATCAGCAGTGCGCATCCACCACCAAGTATCGAAACCCTGACGTTACCGAGGCCCATTTGGTACAGTTGGTATGTTGTTCGCTTAAAAACCCAACTGTCAATAACATCACCATTTCTATCGGTTATTTCACGATTTCTATCATCACGCATAAAAAAAATAAAGCAACAGGTGCGAAAGTTAAAGAAACATTGGATAATTTCGGCTAATACCTTTAAATATTCTGAGGATATTTGAAGTATGGCAAAATCCCTTTTCGCCACTTCTCCGTAAAATGTAAAGCTTAATTGTGCAAAGCCCGGTTAATGGAAAAACTGAAAGATATAAAACAATGAAATTCCCGATTGCTTTCCGGGAAAAAGATATTGCGGTTTTTTAATGATGAGATGCTCTATGAGCTTCATCTTGCGTGATTGACATATCAAATTGCCTATGACAAGTTAAATTATGTTATTTAGTATCTGCTTGATTAGCCATCTCCCAGCCGTGAGGAAATGACAAAGACAGGGTCAAGAGATAATGTGAAGCAATGAGAGTTTCAAGATACTTCCGCTAAACATTGCAATTCTGAAGCATCACCTCAGCGTTAGGGTGGCGGGTTGATCCCATTGTTTTGATCGCAGCGCGCCAATGTGGATGTAAACTGGCTCCTTCTCTCCAATGGCTTCGGGTGATATCGTGAGGAAGTCTAAGCAAACTAGAGAAACCCGTGTTGGATATATTGTGAGTCTAGTGTCAAAATGCCAGTGGATTGCAGTTGCTAGACACTCTCCGTATCAGATGTGTTAGGACTGCCCCTTCTGCACGTGGGTGAGATCTCCAGAAACGCCAACGGTTAGCGATATCTAGAATAGTTAGAGTGCTACTGTTTGGCTAACACTTCCACTGCACTATTCTGCCTTTAAATGGGATTAGATTATCAATGGAGAAGTAAACCGATACGTTTCCTCTGCTAGGCTGGGGTGAGTCCTTGAGCATGTCTTAGCAACACGCAAAATACCCGTAACAAGGATACAGTGAAACCAGTGTCAGAATGTTAGTGGATTATAGTTTCTGGTTGAGTGCAGAAACAAACAGATGGCGATAACACGTACAGTTAGGATGCTACCGCGAAACCTTTAGCTAAAGCTTCCACTGTGCTGTTTAGGATTTCCTTGGGATCAGATCACCAACGGAGAAGTAAATCGAATCCTTTCATCCTGTAAGCTAGAGTGACACCTTGAGTAAATCTTAGCAACCACTAAGCTCCCCAGGCCGAAGATACTGTGAAGATAGGTTGGTGAATCGCAGATGCTGAGCAAATCAGGAATTGCTGTTGCTGGTGATGTGCCACAAGTATTCTAGCACGATAATCCAGCGCAGACAACGGGGAGAAATAATAATCAGTTTGTAAGCGAAGTATTTCGGATGGTCAATTCTTAGCCAGCATCGAGCCTTGCCAGTTTCTAGCCAGCATCAAGACGTTCCTGTTCCTAGCCAGCATCGACGTTGGTCATTTCCTAGTCTGCATCGTTGCTAGCCAGTTCTTAGCCATCATCAAATCTGGTCAGTTCATAGCAAGCATCAAGGTGTCCCTCTTCCTAGCCAGCATCGACGTTGGTCATTTCCTAGTCTGTATCGTTGCTGGCCAGTTCTTAGCCATCATAGAGTCTGGTCAGTTCTAGCCAGCATGGGGTGTCCCTGTTCCTAGCCAGCATCGACGTTGGTCATTTCCTAGTCTGCATCGTTGCTGGCCAGTTCTTAGCCATCATAGAGTCTGGTCAGTTCATAGCCAGCATCAAGGTGTCCCTGTTCCTAGCCAGCATCGACGTTGGTCATTTCCTAGTCTGCATCGTTGCTGGCCAGTTCTTAGCCATCATCAAGTCTGGTCAGTTCATAGCCAGCATCAAGGTGTCCCTGTTCCTAGCCAGCATCGACGTTGGTCATTTCCTAGTCTGTATCGTTGCTGGCCAGTTCTTAGCCATCATAGAGTCTGGTCAGTTCATAGCCAGCATCAAGGTGTCCCTGTTCCTAGCCAGCATCGACGTTGGTCATTTCCTAGTCTGCATCGTTGCTAGCCAGTTCTTAGCCATCATCAAGTCTGGTCAGTTCATAGCCAGCATCAAGGTGTCCCTGTTCCTAGCCAGCATCGACGTTGGTCATTTCCTAGTCTGCATCGTTGCTAGCCAGTTCTTAGCCATCATCAAGTCTGGTCAGTTCACAGCCAGCATCAAGGTGTCCCTGTTCCTAGCCAGCATCGACGTTGGTGTTTTCTGGTCTGTATCGTTGCTGGCCAGTTCTTCGCCATCATAGCATCTGGTCAGTTCATAGGCAGCATCAAAATTGTCCCTGTTCCTAGCCAGCATCGACGTTGGTCATTTCCTAGTCTGCATCGTTGCTAGCCAGTTCTTAGCCATCATCAAGTCTGGTCAGTTCATAGCCAGCATCAAGGTGTCCCTGTTCCTTGCATCGACGTCTAGTGTGCATCATTGCTGACCACTTCTTAGCCAGCATAGAGGCTGGTCAATTCATAGCCAGCATCGAACTGGTCATTTCCAAGCCTGAAAGTAACTGACCAGTACTATCCAGCATCAGTCTGGGAATATAGACATCCGTTTATAGATGAATGACTTGTGTCTTTAATGCCTGCCAGTGTCAAATTTACTAAACCCTCTTTCTTCATTATGTGCACTGGAAAAGTCAACTGTATCTTTCTGCTCTTAACGATAAGTGTCCTATTTGCTTCTATTTCATTTATAATTTGATCATTGTTCACATTTTCAGTATCCTTCTGTTGGTTTCAAATCTCTTTATATCCTGTTATAAGATGGTCGAATATTTATGCTATACAAGAGAAACAATATTACAGAACATTTTCCTAACAAATTTATGCCAATAAGAATAGATAGATAAACATATATATATATATATATATATATATATATATATATATATATATATATATATATGGATATACATTGATTGGGAGAGAGGAGAGGGAGAGAGGGAAAGGTAGATAATTCAATGCTATGTGTACTAAATTGATGACACGAGTAGATGGTTGTCATACTCACATGCTCGTTATCGAGAGGTTAATTTCTAAGTGCATTGCTTTATGTCAGTGTGCTATCTTTCAAACCGATTATTATATTTGGTCGGAGAAAACATGATTATTGTCGAGTTTATCAATCATTAATTATGGTCTATTTATCTGGCATCTTTCATGCTCGAACGTCGGTGGACAGAGATGGCGATCGTCTCAGTGCATTACCTACTATACTTGCTTTTCAAAAATATAGTACGTTCACCTATCTATCTATCTATCTATCTATCTATCTATCTATCTATCTATCTCATTGACTTCAGTATCTATCTATCTATCTATCTATCTATCTATCTATCTATCTATCTCATTCTCTTCAGTATCTATGTTATTATGTTCTCTATCTATCTATCTATCTATCTTATTCATTCTTTTTGGTATCTATATATTTCATTCTGTTCAGCAGCTATCTATCTATCTATCTATCTAGATGTTCGGTATCCTTCTATATATCTCTATATTTTACACTACTGAATGCAAACAAATGTATAATATACAACGAACATTTAAAACTTATTCGGTATCTTTGATCACAAACATATATATATATATATATATATATATATATATATATATATATATATATATTATCTATCTATATATATATAATCTATATATATATATTATTTATATATATATATATATATATTATCTATATATATTATCTATATATATATTATCTATATCTATATATATATATATTATCTATATATATATATATTATCTATATATATATATATTATCTATATATATATATTATCTATATATATATATATTATCTATATATATATATATCATATATATATATATATTATATATATATATATATATATATATATATATATATATATATTATCTATATATAAATTATTATCATATATATATATATATTATCTATATATATATATATCTATATATATATATATATATTATATATATATATATATATATATATATATATATATATTATCTATATATAATCTATATATATATATATATTATCTATATATATATATATATATATATATCTATATATCTATATATATATATATATATATATATATATATATATATATATATATATATATATATGAAATGAAATTAAAACAAGATCAAAAAACAGGTGTTTCCAAAAAGGAGCACATTTGAAATGATACACAGGAAACAAGTAATAGCAGAGAAAATTATACAATTCATAATTTCTCCCGTATTCTATTGTTAATATGTAACCCACTCGAGTAGTTTCTTCCCACAAAGCAGCGTTTTGTATAAACGACTCCCAAAGGGGACACTTCATCGCTCACTACAATCTTAATTTTTGTCAAATCTAGATTTAATCGTTATCTTCCGCATATATCTGCATAAACTGCGTCTTTTATTCTGTAACCCTCTCGTGGCTCCGGGCCTTGTATAGAGTGAACAACAACAAAAAAAGAAAAAACGACAATAAAAGATACTGATCGACTCGGACTATATCCTTTCCATATATAACAAGGTTACCGTACAGTTGTAACAGTTATCTCGACGCACTTCATCAAACAGGTTTATAATGAAATTCCTGAAGTCGAGTTGCCAAAGCAGGGAGCTCATCTGAACAATTAAAGTGGAAATATTTATGGCTGAGTGGTTAGAAATGACGCTTTCTGATTATGAGATCAGGGCTCGAATCTCACTTAGGTGACTTCTTGCTGTTATCGGTTTGGAGTCGGCAATGCCAGCGTGCGGCACCTTTGGAAAGTCCTTAAAAACATACTTTGGGAGCCGTCAATGGTTATGCTTGCACGAAGTCACATGTCGTCGTTACTGAGGGTTTGAACACACTGCCCTTTATCAGACTTTTGTTCACGCTAGAAAATAGAATACACACTCTCGCAGAGACTAGAACCAAGATCCGCTTAGCATAGTTGCAGTATAAACCACATGTCGGCCCTCTGGGTGTTAAACAAACACAAATGTGCTTGAGCAAGCGTCTTCAATATTGCCATTATGATGTTATGTTATTTATATCTTAATTCATATTGCTGGCCTATCTTGCCTTGTGCTCCTTTTATATATTTAGAAATACTTGATAGGATCGAAAGAAGAATCTGCAATTTTATTGTTACTGACTTGAAATCTTTGCTTCAGTTAATTTTTCCACCACTCCAATGTAGCATCTCTGTGCGTTATCTATATAAACTTTCATAGTAATTGTTCTGATAGTTAGAACATTTGCTTTCTGAGCATGAGAATAAGTTTCGAATCTCACCATCGTCTATTTGACAGGGAGGAGAATTTTTGAGGTTATCGGTCTGGAGGAGGCGATCTCAGCATGCGGCACATTCGGAAAGTGCCTGAAAACCATAACACAGGTTGACCCAAGACTTGTGAGTGAAACTGTGTAGACAGAGTTCTTGGCAACCGTCAGTCGTTGTGCGAGCAAGAAGATTAGAATATATACTTACACATATTAAAAAAATAATCGAAAATTGTAAAGTTGAAGCATCCCATTTCCTTCGTGTACGTGTGCAGTTAGAATACGGTCAACATCATTTCAGTCGGATCTACTCATATCCGAGGATGCCAGTTTACTAGGGTGGCTACCCAATCCCCGCTGCAGACACCTGCCCAGGCATATTTGTTTGTTCAACACCCACAGAGACAGAACCCATCTGTGGTTTATACTGCAACTATGCTGAGCCGATCTTACGTACAGTTTCTGAGAGAGAGCCTGTTATCCAACCTGATCAACAGTCTGAACAAGGCCAACATGCTCAAAACCACGGTCACGATGTCTTGTGACTTCGTGCTCGACAGCTCTCAGTATTTATTGGTCCTGACCGGGAAATCATTGCTTCAGTTAATTTTTCCACCACTGAAATTTAGAATCTCACCATAATCGATTTGTCATGAAGGTGACTTTTTGATATTAACGTTCTCGAGTAGGCGACCCCAGATTGCGATAATTTGGAAAGAGATTGAAAAACATAACACGGGTTGACGCAAGACTTGTGAGTGAAATTGGGCAGACGGCATCCTTGGGAGTCGTCGGTGGTTGTGCTAGCCTAAAGTCACAAGTCATCGTGACCGAGGATTTGGGCATGCTTACTTTGTTTATACTGTTGATTACGCTAGATAACGTTATCTCTCTCAGAAATTATAACTAAGATCCGCTCAGCATAGTTGCAATATAAACCAGAGATTGGATATCTGGGTGTTGAACAAACAAAAAATATAACTGAGCAGGTGTCTTCAACGGGGATTATCTAGTGGCCATCAAGTAAGAGAAGCTGGGATGACATATACTTTTTTTTCAATTTGCCAGTGTCTGAAGATCTAAAACAGAAGCCCGGGACAATATATATATATATATATATATATATATATATATATATATATATATATATATATATATATATATAATATGAATTCATTCAAACAAGTCATATTAAATTTAATCGAGAAGATTTATGTTTTTTCAGTTTTTTTATTGGGTTTAATTATTTTATGTTTATCCGATTGAAAATTGTCGATACTCTGAAGAAAATTCACGTTTTTCTTTTTTTGTTTGTAGAACATCAACCCTCACGGTAATCATAAGATACGACATGTTGCAATTCGAGTATACAGGAATTTCTTAACACCATCCTGGTATTTTTGAAGCTTCAATGTTAGATGAAAATATACATATTCTTATAAGTGACTTCATGTGGCGAACGGTTGCACTGCGCATGACAAAATCAGGAAACAGCCATGTTGAATTATTTCGACATATAAATATATTTTACACAGGTAGAAATATTTCATACACATTTTAACATAAAGTTTACTGTATTGAGAAAAAAAAATTATTCAATGCGTTTTTATATAATAATATCTTCAAATCATTCCAGTTATTTTTTTGTATTTTCAGTACAGTATTTTGGTATTATCTACTGATATTTGTTTGATGTTAGTAGTTATATTCTTGGTTGTTGGACTCTTCGAGGCGGTGTAATGGTTAGCAAGCTTATCTCGCTCAAACAATTACGACTGAGTACTGCTTTCGACCATCACTGGGTGCCCCCTACTTTCAGCCTTGCGCCACATCTAAGCTACGCTTGGAAAATCATTTGGGCACCTCGAGGCGGTGTAATGGTTAGCAAGCATGTCTCGCTAGAACAATTACGGGTGAGTAGTGATTTCGATCCTCACTGGGTGCTCCCTACTTTCGGCCTTGTGCCACATCTAA